AGATTTTATACTCAGCTGCAATTTACTAGAACCCACCATCAAAGGCAGCTTCTTCACCTGGATGGGTTATAGATCTAAAGGGAGGGTCTTACGTAGGCTTGACAGGATCCTTATCAATCAAGAATGCTTGAACAGTTTTAGTGATATTTATCTTCATCACCTTAGCAAGACCTCCTCTGATCACAAGGCCCTACTTTTGGAGTGCATTAACTCTACTTATAAAGGACCCAAACCCTTCAGATTCATTAATGCTTGGACTTTGGATGATAGTTTTTATCTAATGGTAAGAAATTATTGGAACTCTATCTCTAATGGTAGAGGAATGAGGGGTCTAGCCAACAAGCTCAAGGGTCTTAAATTCTGCATTAAGGAATGGAATGCTAACCATTTTGGCAATATTTTTACTTAAGTCAAGGAGGCAGAAGATGCAGCTATTAAAGCACAGGAAAGGATTGAATCATGCAACACAGATGATAACATAGAGGCCTTTCATCTAGCAAATGCAAACCTTCTCAAGGCATGCAAAACTGAAGAAAACTACTGGGCACAAAATGTTAGCCTTGGTTTGCTAAGCCTCATGTTTTGATGTTAACAAACAATATAAGAGCTTAAGTGTTTTAAGTACAACAAGAATCCATTAAGATTCGGTACTCAAGAATGAAGTCGAAACACCAAACTAGCGTAGAATATAGGTAGAAACCGATGTAAGAATATGACTTTATATACCTATATTCACAAGCTCAAATGCACTCACAAAATATGTTTAAAACCATCCCATAAACATTTTCAAATATCCAAAAGGTTTAAACTCAAACACGAAGGATTACGGGAATTTTGGAAAAATCAGGACAGTGGCACGGTACCCCAGACGATAGGGTATACTGCCTACACGGTACCCCTATACCGTGAGACGGTACCCAGGTACCGTACGGTAGGCCGGAACGGATGGCCACACCCTTCCTAACCAGGTGCCGCCAGAATCAAATGGAGATTTTGTGCTACACGGTACCGAGGTACCGCCACTCACGGTACCCCCTACCGTACGCACGGTACCATGCTACCGTGTGGACGGCACCTGCCGACCGGATCCGTTGGAGTACTGTTCATGATTTGCGAATTTGAATTAAATCAACCCTAATCACCTCCCAACGGCTAATTAACATCTTCCACTATAAATACAAGCCTAATCCTTCATATTTCTAAAAGAAACAAAGCTCTAAACATCCTCTCTTTTTATTCTAAGTGTGTTCATCCTTTTATTAATTATTTTCAATATTTTGGCTATTTTAAGAGCCTTAAATTCCTGATTTTTTTACACACACTTTGAGCTTGTGTTTCTAGTTATATACTCTCATATTCATAAGTTTGAATAGTATTTTTGAGAGAGTATACCTTCCTTCTACACCGGCTAAGTTTTGTTCTTCATTTTTATATTTAAGCCGTTGTGTAGAACTCTTGTTTGTGTTCTTCAAACACATCTTTATACGGTCGAGAATAGCCGTTAAATTCTCATATTGTATCGGTCGAGGATAGTCGTTTAAATCCTTGGGTAAAGGTTCAAGGATAGCCTTTGAAATCCTTGGGGGAACGGTAGAAGATAGCCGTTAAATCTTCATTGTAAACGGTTCGAGATAGCCGTTGTAAAATCTCGGAGAGAATCCTATTGGCAAGGGTTGTTTGCCAAAACTAGTGCGGTGCTTTGACGGAGTTCAAGAGGCCGGGACTTAGTGGATTCAGAAATCCTTGAGGAGGAGCCTTGAGGTACTGGAGTAGGGGTTTCCCGAACCAGTATAAAATCGGTGTGCATTTTATTTACGCTTTTATTTCTGCGTTTTATATATTGCTTCCGCATTTGCCAACACCGTTTTTATTAAACTCCGAAAAGATTTTTAAAACGCCTTATTCACCCCCCCTCTAAGGCGTGGGCACAACGACTAAACCGATTAACACAAAAGGCAAATATCAAGTGGCTAGCTAGTGGTGATACTTCTACCAAATATTTTCACTCTCTTGTTAAAGGAAAAAGAAGGCAAGCTAGCATCAGAGAACTTAAAGACCATTCAGGGAAGGTGCTGCTAGATCCAGACCTTATTGCTAATTACATTGCTAATTACATTTCCAATCATTATGAAGCTACATTCTCTAAGGACTATAATGGGAATATGGGGGACATCATTGCTAACATTCCAACTGTTATTAATGACCTAGATAACCAGTGTATCACTACCCTCCCTCTCGAAGAAGAAATCAAAGCAGCAATATGGCAACTCAATCCCAACAGCTCTGCAGGTCCTGATGGTTACAATGGAGAATTTTTCAGACACTTTTGGGATATCATCAAGGCATACCTTATCAGTTCCACTCATGAATACTTTCAAGGCATCCCCATTCCTATGGCTTTTAGAAGTACTAATATCACTCTTATTCCCAAAGTGGAGGGAGCTAGAGAAATTGGTGACTACAGACCTATTGCTCTATCTACCTTTTCTAGTAAGATGCTGTCCAGGATTGTGGCTAACAAACTTGGCCCTATGCTTAATAAAATAATCTCTCCTGAGCAAGCTGGTTTTCAAAAAGGGAAAGGTATTGAGGAGCATATCCTTCTAACCAATGAACTGATGCACAACCTAGACTCTAAGGTTAGGGGAGGTAATGTTATGATCAAGCTGGACATGGCCAAAGCCTTTGACAAGATCTCCTGGAACTACCTTCAGGCCATCCTTCAAGCTTTTGGGTTTAATGAACAAAGCATCTCTCTCCTTCTCTAAAACTTAAGGGCAACTTACATGTCTGTTTTAGTGAATGGGAAACCCAATGGGTTCTTTAAAATCAAGAGGGGAGTCAAGCAAGGTGATCCTCTTTCCACTCTCTTGTTTATTATAGGATCTGAGTGTTGTACCCAAACTTAGGATAGATAAACAGGAACAGATTCACTTCAAGGTTCAGAGCTAAGGAATAATCGATTAACACAATTGATAAATCGATTAATAGGGATTAGCTCAACTGGAATTGTTCAGAGGAACCAGATAATCGATTGACACTACAAGACAATCGATTGTGTGATGTTGCAGATTTTGAAGAAGAATCAGAAGGCTTCAATAGTCGATTATCAA